CGGCTAATTACAATATTAAATTTGTATTTTGCAATTAATAAATGATTTTATATAATTAGGGTTATAAAATAATTTAAATAATAAAAATAAATTAAACTTCAACTGTTAATGTTAAATTGATATTTAGATGATTAATATTCCATTTTTAACCCAGAATTTGATTGTGCAAGCTGACATAGTAAAATATATTATATATGTAATAATCTAATCTAATAATTAAAATAGCACTCATTTAATAAAAATTTTTAAAATAATAAAATCAAATCTATATATAATACTTAATAGAATTATAAAAGAAATCGTTCAGGGTGCAATAAAAAAATTTATTTTTAGTTTATGGGGATATTAGGAAGCCATTAAAAAAAAATTTTTACCTTCAGAGGGCTATTCAAATTTTGCAGGGGACTCGAGCCCCTGCGCTTCCCCCCTAGTGACGCTACTTATTTAAATAGATATGAACATTTTTGTTATCAGGATATTTATTTTGACCTGATAAGATCCAAATATTGTTATATATTTAAAATTAGAATTAGATAAATTTTGAATTATTTATTTTATACTACACATTTTTTAAAACATTATAGAAAATATAAAATAGCTGGCAATATATCAGGATAAGAAATAAAAAATATTTGATGTTGATGAGGATGAAAATAAAATGGTTGAATATCTAATTTCATGAATAAACTAATCGGCTTATTATACTAAACTATACATATATAATGAATATGAAGCCCTCTTATCTCCAGCCCTTAGTGGATTCGTTCTTATCAATACATGTTGACCAACGTCAAATTCTCTAACACTGGAATGTGTGCCATGTTATCGACTTTGTTTACCATTAGATTTATTTGTCTCATTTTTCACCCCCTAGTCCAGCTCAATCTAGACCAGTTCTTATCTGACTGCCGAACATAATTTTCGCTGGCGACTTACCCGTCGAACCCCAGCCTATACGCAGCTACCGTTTGAGTCATTGCTTCTTGCGAGTCATTAATTGCTTCTCGACAGCATAATTACAAGTCCCAATGGTTCGTTCCGCCTGCCCATTTGTCCTCGGGTGGATGACGTTGAAAGAATGTGGCAAATATTGTTTTTCTCACAATATAGCTTAAATTTTGTAGAAATAAATTGAGATCCATTGTCATCTACAATACGTTTAGGTACCGCACTTTTTAATCTCGTTATCATCTCCTTGGCTGATGTGCTTCTCCAGGCCTACCTCTGTCTTGAATATGAATCTACTTTTAACTAACTAAAATAGAGTTTCAACCGGTCCTGCAAAATCTGGATTTATACTCTCCTAACTCTTTAGTAATATTCCATATGAGCATAAGAGTAACTACATTACGTTTGGTTATTTTTTGACTCCCAGCACAAAGCTTTAAATACCGTTAGATATCATCTCACACTTAGACCACAGCATTACAACAGAAAAATAGATTTCATCGCGTTTATTCTAGAATGTCCCCGATGTAGTCTTTCCAACACTATATTCTTAAGTTTAATTGGAGTTTCAATCTACCATTCCGTTATACTCTGTCTACTGCTAGTTCTTCTCCCTGGGTAAAGAAAATTACTAGATTCTGTTCTTCCTTCCGATCAAAAACTGTGCAACCTTGTTCAATGTGACGTGCCACTCGTTTTAGTATCCTTATGCGGAATTCCTGCATAGGTTTCTCTCCAAAACCTGCATATCCTTTAAATTGATATTATGAATCGCCAATGCGTGTTTTTTTTATCTCAATTGGGTATAATATCGTGCAATGGAAACCTAGATAAAGAGTCGGCTATAAGATTCCCACGACTCTGTCTGTATTTCATGTTAAGATCGTATGAGTCCATCTTCCAGGCCCAGCGAGTAGGACGATTACTTGATATCTTGAGAAGATTCCTCTTTTCCCTGAACAATCGTTCCAATGTTGTATGGTCTGCCCGAAGTACAAATCTTCGACAGTGAATAAATTATGAAATTTTGCTATTCCGACAGCCGTGCCCTCGCTTCCTTATCAATTGGAGCCTACTGTTTTACAGACTGCAACAACGTCCAAGACGCAAATGCGATATTTTTTTCCTGGTTTAGGGAAACTCGATGAGGTGAGATTGCTCCAAGCCATGTATCTGAAGCATCACACTCCAAAATCAACGGCAATTGAGCATTGTACGGCTTTAACGTTTCTTTTGCTGGTAATAGTGTTTTAATTTTGTCAAAACTGCTGTTCCACTGTTGCCCGACACAATGGTGCTTTTACGCTAGTAATTCTTTGTAACACTGCTACCTCACTATGTAGATTGGGAAATTAACCCTTTATGATATATGACAAGACCAAAAATTAAAAGTAACTAAACATTCTTGAGATTAGGCGAGGATTGGATTGCTTTTACCTTTCCCTCGCTTGGATGTACTCCATTCTGGTCGATACTAACATCTAAAGATGAAACAGAATTCTGTAAAAATTGAACTTTTTCAAATTTGGCTTTGAAACCTGCTTCCTGCTAGATTAACAAGATGTTTGGCGTCATTTTTTCCAGAGATAATTACATTGTTCAGATACATTCCAATCATCGGGCACTATCTCAAAACATTAACGTTGGGAAATAGTTGGTCCGCACTAAAGCTCTAAAGGCATCCTTCGGTATCAAAAATATCCCATGCACCGAGATGACCAAATATTTTTGGGTCTCTGTTTCCATCGCCATTTATACATAAGCGTCCTTTAAATCTATCTGTAAATCAATTTCCCCCCTGAATCTTTACCACTAAGTCATCCAACATTGGAATAATGTGATGATCATATAATAGAATATTTTCCAGTCATCACAATTCTTACATTTATTATCGTAACCTGCCCTTAGGCTTCCTATAATTATTATTTTCTAACACACTCTTGTGAATTAGACATTTTATGTTTGCCATGTTACAACCTGATTACCTATTCATAAGGTCTTTCTTAATTGCCATTTTGTTCTGAGCTCTTTTCGTTGCCATGGCCATATTCAGCACAAACGTAAGGTTTTTTGTTCACATCCAATGCTAATGGATATTTAGCCCTAAAATCAATTTCGAGGCCTTGCAGGTCTATATCTGCAAACAATTGATCTCTTAAAACTTCTGTCGGCGTAAAACAACACGTTTTCGCAGTTACTTTGATTTTAATGGTAAACTCTATAAATGGTTCATTGTTGTTCCTAATTAACCTTCGACTACCAAAAATGGGTTTATTCTGTTTAAAAATTTGTAGTGAAATACTTCTTAGCTTATCAAATTTAGTCGTTAGAATGGTTTCAGGAGATAAATATTTTTCAAGAATGTCAATGCCCTCTGCGCCCAAACTCATCATAAACAGGTCCTTATTCTCCTGCTCGGTCGGCGTCTAGTTTTTCTAATCTCATTGTTGCATCTTATAACTGAAACCAACGCTCTATCGACCAATTTACCAGGAATTTTTTGATCTTATCTATATTTATGACAGTATTGGTTTTGGCTTGAGGCATAATTTTTAACAATTAATAAACTTTGTTTATTAAGAATAATAGAATCCTGTCGACTTCGCCAATAAACTAATCCGTTTATACTAAACTATAATGCACAGGTTTATTCAATCTTTAATATATACATCCACAAGGTTGTTAATCATATGGAATCAATTGAGAAAATTATAATTATAATTGATGCTATGGGTTTTTAGTAGTTAACCTCATCCAATATTATTTTAATCATAAATATTATATATATTCATTATAACCATATCTAATTGACGAATATAATAATACAATATATTCCCAAGTTATTACAATGAAATAAAACTTTTTATGGTTTATCTGTTTAAAAGGTATTAAAAAATTATAGCTGAGATTTTTACCTCCACCCCATTCAAAAAGCAACTTCAATTAAACAGGAGTAAATAATCAAAAAAACATATTGTTAAAATATTAATAAAAGATGTTTGTATTATATATAAATAGAACTATAAAATTTTCATAATTTTGAAGATTGGATTCGATGCAGAGTATGTAAAGGTTGGGCTTATCTGTGCCAAAAAAAGATTGTTATTTTATTTGTTATAATTGTAAATAATATTATATAAATAAAACATATATGAATAAAGAAATTTTTTTGTGTCTCATAGGAAGCCTGATAAACCACTAGATTCGAATAGCTCCATCGATGATCCATCTAATCACTTGTTTAGGGCTACTAGGTTTAAAAAATCACTTTTACTAAACCTTTCTTGGAAAAAATATTATTAAATATTTAAAAAATATAACAGTAAGTGTTTAATTGGTATTTTGCAAGATCTTATTCGATCTTTATTTAAAAATTGTGCCGACTAACCCTAGTCTTTCTTATATCTGGACCGTTTGTCCGGTCATCAATAACTTCGTCCTTATTAAAATTTTTAAGAGCCATAATATCTTATTATTGCGGATATAGCATTTGCAGTTAACATTTGGTGTCTAACTTAACATTTACATTGTAACCATATTTTCTCTGTCAACATGGCACTATATCGCCGATTTCTATAATAACCTCTTTGAAGATCTATTTTAGTTGCATATTATGACTCAGCTTATATGATCAAATTTTATTCCATTCGAGCGTACCTTTTCTTTCATTCCTCGTTCTAAACCTCTATCCATCTGTTTTACGGATATAAAATATTTGTAACCATCTATCGATTGTAGCGACCACTTTAATTTTTAACTATGTCTATATAGTCATTCATCAAATTTATTCCGTTATTTTTAGCGTGATATATCATGTATATAAACAAACTAAAAAAAATTTGTATTAAATTATTGCAGTTTTATATTAATGCGATTTTAACCATAGCACTAAATTTAATTAACAAAATATATATATATAAGCTAGCCAGATGGAATCGGAAAATTTAAAGTATCCCTATTCCCTCATGCTGGATTCAGAAAACAAATTCAAAATTTTTTGGAAGGTAAACTATACTAGCGAGACTATTTACATAATATATCGAGTCAGAAACATGACTGCGAGTGCATCTTGGGTAGCGTTCGGCTTCTCTGATTACGGAAATCTGATAGGATCTGATTTATGCATTTTCACGCCATTTAATCAAATCGAAGACGGCAGAATGAAAGTTTATAATATATAATTATAAAAGATGAAAAATGAATTTAAAGAAATAACGAATATTTAAATTATTTTTAGATTAATAATCAAATATATAGGACAACCGAAGACCAAAAAGGATTTATTGCCATAGTAATTTCGCTATTTTTTTTAATTAATTATATTTTATTATTGAATCGGTTTAAAATAATATATATATATACACACTATAATATATGTTAGGACTCTCATGTGGACTCAAACGGATATCTAAAAGAAGATTTTCATCAAAATTATATTCTAGAAAGAGTTCTCAGCCAAGGTAATGACAGATATTTTATCGTTAGCCGCAAATTCAACACTTGTGATAAGAACTACGATTATACTTTGGATGTATAGAAAATAAACTATATTTTTTTACAATATCAATTCCTTTAAAGTAAACTAATTTTATCGATGAGAATGGAATTCAGTAAAACTCCAATTATAATTCATATGGCGGTATTATAAAATAACATGAGTATAAATTAATATTTAATTAAGCCTGAAAGGGTTGTTGTTCAAAATATCGTAATATTTTGAAGCGCTTTTACTAATATTATTATATTTTTTTCTACAAATACTAAACTAATTTAAAGAGAGGTACAACCCATGTCTTATATATCTCAGAATCCATTCATCCAATTCTATTCGATGCCTCAATACATTCAAACAATTTATTCCCTATGGCAAAAGAGAGTAAAAGTGGTTTCCAATGGGGGTTTAACAGGGCCCAATTACTTAAATCCCAAATAGTTACGGGTAAAGTGACAAGTGAAACTAATGACACACATATTTTCCACATTACATTTGATAAAGTAATAATAAATATTTGTAATTTTTTGATTTTGATATATAAAAAAGAACATTGGCTAACCATATAATGTATATATTAATTATTCCCGTTTCATTTATGGACAGGCTCCAGTACCAGCTAATTCGACAACTTACTGGAAAAAATTGATCAAATTGCCCGAATATTTTTCAAAAAAGCATCATATCATAAAGGTATACATATAATATAAAATAAATTAATACATTTTTTTAACAAATCACTATGTTGAGGGTGACTCTTTAATTTTTTTTTCTACGAAAAATGTTTGTTAAATTTCAATTTGAGTTTTAGTTGGCTTTCCAAAGGCTCTTGAGTTTAGACAATTTGCAATGCAGTGTATATATTTGTACTTTGATTTGATTTGTTCGTTAAAAACAAAAATTTGGAAAAAATATAATACGATGAAGTACCAAAGCAAAATATCAAAAGAAACCGAAAATGTTGTTCACCATCTTATGCTTTTCCATTGTCAAATTCCGAAATTCATTATCCCCGATTTCTATGAGGGTCCAAGTGACACTCCAAATGAGCCAAAATTATATAAAAAATGCAAGAAGGTTATCGTTGCTTGGGCGATGGGGGCTCAAGTAATAATTTTTATTCCGAAATATATACCTATTTATTTTAATATCAACCTCAAACGAATTTCGTTGAGTTATAAAAATACTCATAAAAATATATTTCGTTACATGATATAATTTAAAATCGTTCGCAGAAATGCAATGTGTTAAGTTAGTGGCTAAAAGTTATAAAATACATTTAGCTAAAAAAAATATGACTGAGTTGTAAATAAGTATTAAACAAAATAATTTCTTGATCCAATATTCATACATAGTTAATTATAATGAAAAAAACAAAAAAATTTAAAAACTAAGTAGTCATAAGTTAATTGTAGGATGTAACAAGTCCGACCATACAATTAAATAGATTGTAACTCAATGGTCACCCCCTAATAGATCTCGTCTAAATTTTAATTTGCTTGCTTGTTTTAAATAGGCAACTATGAACTTTATAATAAAATATGTTTATATTCATGGGCTTAATCAAAAAAATTTGTTTTTATAACATCTCAAAAAGAAATTTATTGAAATAATTTAATCTGAAGGGTAGAAATGAGAGTTTTTCAAAATTTCTCATCAAATAAAAAATTAGCTATACTTATAAAATAGGATAATAATGAGAGACAAAATAACAAAACGAATAAAAACATGTTTCATGTTATTATAGATATATAGGTATATATATGATAGCGTCAATATATTTTTTCTGGCAATTTGTTTTTTTTCAACTTAAATCATTTTTTGAGCACGTTTTTTTAAATTTAAGAATTTGATTTTACCGGAAATGTATTATATCATGTTAGGAATACTCTATAGATTTTAGACAAATTCGCTATGAACTTTGAACTTAATATAATTTATATTAGTTTTTTCCATAGATTTTTTATATAAATGACTCAAAGGTTAACGATAAAATTTTCTACAATTCATAATATAGATATTTTAAAAATTCTGGAATACATTTCAAGTAATATCTGATTCTTAAATTTTAAAAAAACGGGCTCAAAAAATGATTTAAAGGAAAAAATAACACATTGCTGGAAAAAACACATTGACGCTATCATATATTTTTTAAAACTTATTTATCAATCAGCCCTTCATTTTTCCGCAAGAAGCCGGGTTAACCCTGGGCGGTTCCGATCAATCCCTGTATGTTGTATTGGAAGCACATTTCAATAATCCAAATAATTATGATGGTATGAATAACAAAGCTTATAATTTATTGGTGATAGATATATTTAACCCAGTAAAATGAGATTTTTAAAGTTAAATAACTCGATTTTTGATTGTTACTTTTAACTTTAAATCTTTTATTGAATTAGAGACCTGTGACAAGGGCGTCACTAGCCTTTACAATCTCAGGGGCTCCAAAAATTTTTAAAATTATTTTCAAAATTACCTCTATTTAGCTAACATTATCTAAAATTGCCTCTTTTTTTTTGGCTAACTTACCTTTTTTTTTTAGTGGTATAAAAAATTAAATTTTTCAGTGGGCTCAACCCCCTTGTACTTCCTCTAGAGACGCTGACAAATGACATTAAATTCATTTTAAAATATTTATTTCGCAATGTATTTCAACTTGTAATTAAGTATCCTTAATGTAAATTTCGAACAATTTAGCCGTTTACTTGGTAATACTCTAAATTCATATTTATTATTATATAAATTTTTGATGTAAACTTTAAAAAAATAGCATAAAAATTCACGGTATGTCTAGAATTCACATTAAGGGTATTCAATACATGCTGGAGTACCAGGTCAAATCAAATATTTTTTTAATTTAAAAATCGCCATGACTAAATTATTTAAGAATGAGAGATTTTTCAATCTATTAAGACATATATTCCAATTGAAAAAATTTAAATTATTCATTATAGGTATTTTAGATTCTTCTGGATTTTCCATCTATTTAACTTCAAAACTAAGAAAATATGACACTGGTTTTTTGGAAATTGGCTACGAATATAGTCCGAAACTAATGATACCACCAGGGCAAGAAAAATTTTTGGTACATGGATATTGCGTTCCAGAGTGTACGAACGGGGTAAAAAAAATAATTTATAACAGCGCTACCTCATCTGACTAATCATCTTTATTACATATTAAATTTATTCTAAATTAAGAACAATTATTTTTTTGCTTGAATATATATTTAAAAATATTTTAATTATATAACTCAGAATATAGGAACCTTTGAAATTAGTCGTTGTAATTATAAAGAGTCAACCACATATATTTATAACATATACTATATTAATACGCATAAATAAACAAAAATAGAATTTATATTAGTGTACATCCAGGATTTTATTTCTAGGGGAGAGAACGGGTTAATATATTCTATACTTTATAAATTAATAAAATTATTAACTTCGTTAAAGGGGGGGGGGATTCCCCATTGTCCTTCACCTCTCCGAAATTGTTTTTGAATAGGAAATTGAAAAAATCCTGCCATATAAATATTGTATGATAAATTTTATAAATGAAATATTTTTAAGGGAATCCCAACATCTGGCATAACAGTCTTTGCTAATCAATTCCACACTCATCTACTTGGCAAGAAGATTATAGCTCGCATAATTAGGAATGGCGTCGAGATAGGCGAATTGAATCGTGACAACCATTATAGCCCTCACGCTCAGGAAATACGACTCTTGCCCAAAATTGTCACCCTATATCCGGTATAAAAAAAATTTCAGTCATTTTATAGATTATTCCATTATTAATAATAATAACAAAAAAGGGAGATCAATTGATAGTTACTTGCTTCTACGATAGCTCAATGAAAAAAATCATAACAAACGTAAGTCAGAAGAAATTAACACATCGCACCTCCTCTTCTGGTTTTAAGCAGAGATGCCACCAATATCTACCCTATAATATTTATATATAAAAATTACTGAAAAGTAGACAATAACCTAATCATATTTTATTTATATTCACCAAATCTGTATATTTTTGAAGGCAAATTTTTTTAAAAAATAAGGATTAATTTTTCAAATTGAATCGAAAATATTCGTCCTTTAAAATTAAATATTGGTTTTTTAAATACCTTATGCTATTATTTTTACCTAAACGGTAAAAAATTATTCGTACAGAGTAAATACTATCCTATTGATTAATTAAAATTGCAAATTTTGGAATATTGGTAAAGTATATTAAATAAATTTATGAAATTTTTTAATTTAAAAAAAAATTTAAAAATTATGAAGTTGAGATAGTGTTGGTAAACGACCCACTTAGAGTCGATAGAACGGCCTGATTAAAATTTTGGCCAAAATAATATTATGTGAGTCGAGATTTGTCAAATAGAGATCCAAACCTTTCTGCCATCTATGAGCAAAAAATCCAAGCATACATAATATTATTTTGGAAATCATAATCGGCCGTTTTTAAAAAAATTGACCACAATAAAAGTTTTCTTTCTTTTTTTTCTTTTATGATTGTGATTATTTTTAGAAAGGAGCCAGCAAAATGGAAAAATATAAAAAATAACCTTAAAATTTTTTATTCTTAGTAGCAGAATAATAAAAGCCTTTAAGAAAGATCAAGATACAACTGAAAAAAAGAAAGCAAGAGAATGGCAACATTTTAAAAATTATTTAATATATAAATAATAAAAATGTTTTTAAAATTAACAATTATAACAGTTAAAATATTATAAAAATATGTTTAATATTTTGCAGGAAAAAGTTTTTTAAGTGCAAAATTGGATCGAAAAGCTATTCAACTAAATCTTTTAATATCAGCACCGTGATATCGGCAAAAATCAAAAATGGTGGGTATCCCTGTATCTTTGGAATCATCCTATAAATTATCAACTTTTATTTTAATCAATGCTTAAAGGCTTAGTAGTTAAATATTTTACATAATATGCCGGTGCTTATATGAACCCCCCCCCCCCATCCCACTCTTTCAAATTTAAGATTATTGAAATTTTTTAATCAGCTTTATTATCATATCATATTAATTAAACTTTTAGGGAGGACTAGCTACAACCGATGAAATGTGCATCACTTACTTGTTTTATTACCCGAGAGTGAATCTTGAAAGATGCAGAAGCTCTATTTCAATCGAAACTTTAAACAAATTCTTTGCATATAAGTAATGGGGAAAATATATTAATAATAATATGCTCTCATTAATATATAATTAACTAACGCATCTAAGAGGCTGCCTTAGATAACTTTTTTTCACGCTAAATTTATAACGCTAATTCTATTTTTTTTATCTTAGACTTAACAGCTGATTTGCTTTTCTAGATTTTGTATCAAAATAAAGAAATTATTAAAATATATATTCTGTTTATTACTTAAAAATATATTAGCATTCAACAACTGATATTAAAAAATTTGTTAACTTTTATCGAAGCTTTAAATAAAACATAAAACATTCCGGCAAATTGGAGAAAATTTCAGTTTTTAGAGGAACGTTGCCTAAAAGAAGTGATATGACGACCTCTAATAGGCATAGGCTATAAATTAATTTTTTATTTAGATCAATAAGTTATATATAATTTTGTACATAATGTTTGTTTATATTTGATAAAAATAAACTTCTTTTGAATTAAAAAAATTTAATTTTCGCTGACGAATTTAAAAATAATTTTATTTTTTGTTCAATTTTTGAATTTAAAAATATATATCTTTTAATTTAAAAATTCTAAACTAGTTTTGATGATCAAGGCCCGGGAATTTATTAATATATTTTTTTTTAAATATTGACTACATTTTGTTTCAAATATTAATATTTACATTTCCAATAAAGCAATAAATATGATTATGAGTATTTAAATGAAACTCTTACGATATATGACAGCCAAATACGGAATCAATATAATAAAAGTAGTTTATGGGAACCACAAAATGTCGAAAAATTGATTTTGCTTAACGATAACTCACCTGTTCATTCCGACTGCTCAAACTCAGATGATAAATCCGTATTGGTAAAATAAAATCCATTTTTTTTTATTTCTCTCCTCCTTCATTTGTTAAGTACGTCTTACAATTTGGAAAATTTAATTTTGCCGAAAATGTATTCTTGTATACATTTTTTTTATATATTTGAAACTATTTGATCATAACTTTTAAATCAATTTAATTTTACATTGGATATACAATGAATTGACTAAGATAATATTTAATGATGGATGCTAATATATTATATATAATGATATACAATATTATATGAATTTATGGTAAGATTATGGTTTATGAGTCATAAATAGCATTGGTTATCATTTATTTATTTATCTATCCTATGATTGGTTGAATTTTATTAATTTTAAGCATATATTTTGATCAACATTCTTTAAAACTAAATAAAAATGAGATGCCAAGGATAAAATTTAAATAAAGGGAAGGGTAAATAGGGTAAAAAATATTTAAGGATTTAAACTTGCAAATTGTAATTCAGAAACCTATTCCAATTGTTTTTCTTACTTAGATTTCATACTTTCATGAATTATAAATTTCATTAACAGAGGATTCTTTCTCAATGGTCACTTATATCATTACTTATAGGCTTCTTTCTAATTACATATTATCTGAGCATACAATTAAATACTCTTTAAACAAAATATAAAATAACAATATATATTCTTTATATTTATGTATAATAACTCACTATTAAAAAATTTTAAAAAAAATATAGCAAAAATTTAAAAAATAAATAATAAAATTACCAATCATAACAGATAAATAAATTAAGGATAACCATTTGTAATTATGGTTCACAAACTATAATCTTACCGATTACATTTATTTAATTTTAAAATTATTATAACACTACGTAATATTAATATGAAATTTAAAAAGGGTCTATGTGAAGGGCATTTTGAATATATTTAATAATATGAAATAATTATATATAGAATTTTGCATTAAATACTTCACTAAAGATAACTTTTGGCAGACCCCTTTTAAGTTCCAAGATTGAAAATTTACCAAAAATAATATTTAAAATTTAATTATGCCTTTAACTCAATTTGCTATTTTATAATCAAATGTATTTGTACCTTGAAATCTCAGACAGTTAATTAATTTATATTTAAAAGTTTCTTAATAATATAAAATGACTGAACCCACTTTAACGGGTACAGTTCAAGTTTTTAAATAAATGTTTAAGTTTAAGCTAGTTTTCATAAATTTTTTTTAAAAAACCCTGATTTAGGTTCGGTTTGCAAGCCTGCCTGAAGATTTTTAAATAATCATTAAAAGAAACTAATAATTTATTTCTTAGATTGACCTTTATGTTTAATGAATAAATAATGGATAATCCTCTACTAATTTATACCTCATCATAAAATGTGGTGTATGTATGTTTTTACATCAGTGGCGTAGCCAGGTTTGATCCATGGGGAAGGTGGGTGGGAGGGGTTTAAATTTTTTTTGGTGGGGGGGGGGGGGGCTTCGCCCTTAAACTGCATTTGAAAAATTTGCCAATATTTTGTGCTTTATTAGTGTCTAACTACTATAGTAGCCAGCATAAATGAAAAAAATATTAATAACAAAATTTTGGCCAAATTTATGATTAATACGTGACTGAAAGCATTATTCTGAAAATTTTATCAATGTTTAGTCGATTGTAAATTTACTAGATCCATTCTGTGTAGAAAGAAGAAAAAAAATCGCCCCCCAAACCTCCCATTTTTTATGATCACTCAATATATCTTATTCTGTTAAAAATAATTATTTTAAAATTTTTGCATATAACAAAATTTTGCAGAGAATTTCATTATAGATTTTATTTTTTATTAAAATACTTTAGTATAAATAACACCCCTTTATTTAACTATGTATTTATTTTAATGATAATACACAATAAAATAAATTTCAAAATGTATAAATTTTATACAGATTATATTAAAAATTTATTCTAAATAACCAGTGGCCCCTACACTTTCTGAGCGAATGAAGCAGAATACCCCCCTGAAAAGTACCCCCCCCCCTCGAAAAAATGATAATTATTTTATGACACCCATAAATTCCAAAAATAATTTTTATTGCATCAATTTTTAATATTTAACAAATAATATTGGTATTATCAAGTAAAAGCTTTAAATTTAATTTGACCAAACCATAGTATTTACACATAGTTTTAATGGATTGAACCTGGATTGAAGGGGGGGGGGGGGTTTAATAAAAATTCGATATTTTTTTCAAATAAGAGGTAACAACTATCATAAAAGTAATAAGAAAATTCTCATTCCCCGTCATTTTTGACGGGCTATCTATTAGTATAATATAAATATGCAAAAAAATATACTTTATAAATATTATTTTTAAATTAATAATTTAGATAAATTAGGGGAAGAGAAAGCGAATTTATAATTTCATCAATATTTAATTGTTTAAATAAATTTTTTATTGATAATAGGGCTTTATTGAGAAATGAATCTTTCATGGTACTACGAAGTCTTGTTTTAATTAATTTAATTTTACTCATGACTCTTTCGGCAGTATATGAGGTTGTAGGAAGTGCAACATATAACACACCTATTTTAAAGTTAAAAAAAATTTCTATATTTAATGATGAAAGTATATATACCTCTCCTTTTTGGAATGTAATGTTTGAAGTCTAGAACTTTCAAAATCAAAAGGTAGATTTCTCTCCTTCATAAAATCTTGTGCCTTTGAAAAAACATCCAAAAATTTATTGTTATTATCTATTAGATTAAAAAATAATTAAGACAATAATTTATATTATACTTCTCAAATTTATCAAGCAATCTTTTGTCAATTGAATTTGATTTATTGCAAACCCTATATCCTTCGAAATGGTTTGCAATTTTGTACAAGCCAAACTTGTTATCAACAATATTTTATCCAAAACACAAAGTGATAAGATAAAATCAAATTTTTCTATTCTAAAGACTATAGCACTAGTCATAGTGGAAGTGGCAGGATCTTCAGAATCCTTTAAATTTGTTAAAGCTGCCCTCAACTCATCTAGTATTCCTAGAACATTTCGAAGTTCTTTAATTGATTGGCATAATTGAACAATGATTAAATTCAATCGATGACAATAACACCAAATAAAAGCTGCCTTTGGCGCCTCTGCTCTAATCAAGGCCTGCACATCATTGATTCTTCCACTCATGTTTGAGGCGCCATCATAACTTTGCCCAACTAGAAATTCAAGGGGTAAATTCATCGAGCCGAGTTTGTATATTATATTATGCTTAATATCGAGACCTGTAGTATTTCCCATACAATATATGTCAATCAGTCTTTCAACAGGCTTCGGCGTCTAACTATTTTCAACATATCTTACTATCAAAGCTATTGCTTCTGATTTCGAATCAACTATGATTGAAAAGCACCTGTTAAATGTAATCTCATTTTGAATTTTTTTTATAACCATATTTTTCATGGTTTAAATGAGAATATTTATGTTATTATATGATAATAGATTTGAATATAATTTCGTTTTTAATCCCTTATTTTTTTATCCCTTTTTCTTTCTTCATTTTGTTGTATATACATTTTTAGTACAGGTTCAGAATCTGCAATAATTTTAATAAGGGCCATCATATTGTCTTCTTGTTGCCTGTTCCCCCAGAAGGCATGGTTACAAGATATTAAATAATCTAAACAACTTATTATAATTCTTATGATAGAACAGTTATTATCTACACATTCTTTCTGGGGTGTAATAAATTTTAATATTGAATTTTTATTGTGAGAAAGCCTTCCATAATCGGCCATCATATGTGCCTGTGATTCATGCAGAATAATATCACGATTAATATTCTGCCATTTATCTAGACCTTCACATGTCCATTTTGAATTTGTGTGTGGACCTCCAAATAAGAGACATGTTAAGCAAAAAACTTTATTCATTTTAATACCCAATTTCAAGCAATTTTGCTATTGTCAATATTAGTTTTTTCATAAAAGCTTTCATTAAAGGATATGTTTCTATTATTATTATCTTTGGGGAATAAATAATGTGTAGGTTGAAGAGCTTCTAATTCTAGATATTTATCAATTATAAAATTGTCAATTCTTTTTCCAACAATATTGATGGGATCATTTGATTCCTAAGAAAAGAGAGGGAGGGAAGATAAGATATTTTAATTAAAATATGAATGCTACTATCTATTCA